CAGAATCGATAAAATTGATAGGGAAGAATTCCTGAGACCCAGGACTTCAAGAAAAAGAGGTCATAGATTTAAACTACCTAAATACAGATGCCGAAGAAATATAAGAAAATTCACATTCGCAAACAGAGTGGTAGACGGTTGAAACAAGTTAGGCGAGAAGATGGTGTAGGCCAAAACCGTCAGTAATTTCAAAGCGTTATATGACAAAGAGTGCTGGGAAGACGGGACACCGCGAGCGTAGCTCTCATCCTGTAACTACACTTAGGTAATTACACACACACAAAATTTCCTAACTGAAAGAAAAATGAGGGCCGTAATCAGAGGCAATGTATTGGATTGGAGGAATGTCACAGGTGGAGTACCACAGGGTTCAGTTCTTGCACCGGTAATGTTCATTGTCTACATAAACAATCTACCAGATGGAATACACAATTATATGAACATGTTTGCTGATGATGCTAAGATAATAGGGAAGATAGAAACTTAGATGATTGTCATGCCCTTCAAGAAGACCTGAACAGAATAAGTATATGGAGCAACACTTGGCAAATGGAATTTAATAATTGTCATGCCCTTCAAGAAGACCTGAACAGAATAAGTATATGGAGCAACACTTGGCAAATGGAATTTAATGTAAAATGTTATGGAATGTGGAATTGGAGAACATAGATCCCACATAACCTATAAATTATGTGAGAAATCTTTAAATAATTCTGACAAAGAAAGAGATCTAGGGGTGGTTCTAGATAGAAAACTATAACCTGAGGACCACATTAAGAACATTGTGCGAGAAGCCTATGCTACACTTTCTAACTTCAGAATTGCTTTTAAATACATGGATGCCGATATACTAAAGAAATTGTTCACGACTTTAGTTAGACCAAAGCTGGAATATGCAGCCGTTGTATGGTACCCATATTTTAAGAAGCACATCAACAAACTGGAAAAGGTGCAAAGACATACTACCAAGTGGCTCCCAGAACTGAAGGACAAGAGCTACGAAGAGAGGTTAGAGGCATTAAATATGCCAAAATTAGAGGACAGAAAAAAAGAGGCGATATGACCACTATGTACAAAACAGTAACAGGAATTGATAAAATTGATACGGAAGATTTCCTGAGACCCAGAACTTCAAGAACAAGAGGTCATAGACTTAAACTAACTAAACACAGATGGCAAAGAAATATAAGAAAATTCACTTTCGCAAACAGAGTGATAGACGGTTGGAACAAGTTAGGTGAAAAGATGGTGGAGGCCATCAGCAGTTTCAAAGCGTTATATGACAAAGAGTGCTGGGAAGACGGGACACCACGAGCGTAGCTCTTATACTGTAACTACACTTAGGTAATTACACACACATTAAACGTAATGCAAATTTCTTGTTATATATTTTGCTCCAAGCATTAGAGAACTGTGAATGTTTTGTTTTATTTTATGGTAAAATAGTGTTGATGGGTTTGAATATGTCAATATAATGAAGAAAGGTAAGATCTAGCTGGGTGTGGCAAGCCGTAGGGTGGTCACCACTTCAGTCAGCCGTCCCTTAATAACAGTGTGACCAACGATCACATAAACACAACATTTAGTTGGTATTTATGATCATCACATTAAAATGCAGTCTATTTATACAAATATTAATTGTTTAAGGTGAGATAGAATGAATAGGTTTTTATGGTCAACAAAATTTTGAAAACATTTTTAAGCAGACCACATTTTGTGATTGTCTGTATATCATGACTAAAAACTAAATTTCTTAAAAAAAAATTAAAATAGATGCACTTGGCCTACACTGCCCAATAATTAAAAAGGAAGATAAGTTTTCAGATCCTATGAAAGTGTTATATGATTCAAGTCAATACAAGGAGTGTAAGGAAGGTACCCCCATTTAATGTACAGTACTGTACAGTATTTTAATGATGAAAACTACAAACAGTGCATTTGAAACTTCCTCCGTGGCAGCAGCTAGCCTGCACATGTGCTGTAGGTGTATTCATAATAGGTGAGCTGTCTCCCTCTAAATGAATGTAAACCAGTTCTTCAGTTCTTATAGAAACATTCTCAACTACATTTGAGTATTGAAAAAACATTAATAAATATAAGTGGTAAATGTAGAAATCCAATCAGACTTGTATAAGGAGTTACTAGAAATATAATTTGAAACTCAAAAATATTGGAACATGTTAAGAGGGAAAGACAAATGCAAGGTGCAGAGCGGCCATTGTGTGGAAGACGTATCGAGTGTGGACGATCTCGTCATGCTCGAAGTTTTGTAAAGTCAGTACCTTGAGGTAGTGATGCCTAAGCAAGCCTGAAGCCCAATGTGCAGTATATTGTAGTGTAGTGCAAATATATATTATAGAGTAGGACTCCCTTTATGTGTTAGGTTTGAGTTGATGTTCCAGTGATGCCTGGTAAATGTTCATGATTATCGTTTTGTGTAGAGTATGTTGTGTTCTTGATCTTACAAATACCTAAGCGTGATTTAATGTATTTTATGCAGAGCATCCCAAATGTAAAGTATTCAACACAGCATTATTTCTACACTGCTTGTCATAATTACAGCTCCTTGTACAGTCTGTGTTATATCTAAAGAGATTCAGGTATTTTTCTCTTCAATATTTTTTTTTTTTACTTCTGAATGGCTAATTTGTGAAGAACTGTTATACTATTTTCTTGTTGACCAAGTCTTCCCTGTGTCTGTGTGAAGGGGCAAGGTTAGGGCCTACAGAGAGCTACCATTTGGCCCCATCAAGTGGTGTGTCTAATTACCCAAAGCTACCCAAATTTACTCAAAGCTACCCAAAGTTTCCTAGCATTACGTAAGTAATGAAGATATATGATACAGTATATTTATTCACTATATTGTTTGTGTTGAATGTAGAACATGAAAAAGCATACTTTTACTCTGAAATAATATCAATTTATAATGAAAATAGATGAAAAAGTGGCATGAGAGGCCATAGAAAGTCGACGATCCAAGCGACAATGTTGTTTAGCTACTTATCCAAGATGAACAAATTATTCAAGATATATTGTTGCCTAGAGGTAATATTAAGTTATGTTTGGATAGGTTATTTTTAGTTAGGTTAGGTTATGTTATATTTGGGTACGTTGGTTAAGTTAGGTAGGTACAGGAGGCTCAAATGCCACCAAACATTATCGCTTGGACCGTCGACTTGCTCTGGCGTCACCAGCTTCTTATTTTCATCTAATTTCTTTATAAAATGATACTTTTTCTGAGTAACAATATGTTTTTCATGTTCCACATTCAACACCAACATTACAATGAACAAATATATCATATTTATTCATTACTAACGTAATGCTAGGAAGCTTTGTATAGCTTTGAGTAAGTTTGGGTAGCTTTGGGTAATTAGATGGTCACCCCCCCCCCCTCTCAAGACTTGAAATGTGGTTATGTAGTTAGTTTAGTTAATTTATTATGCACCCCATACCCATCATGTGGGCAGTAGTGGAAAGGGTTACAGAGGCACATAATGGGCTCAGGAACTGAACCCCACAATTCATTTAGCTAAGCAAGTTACAGTCTTGATGAGGGGGTTACATGGCTCTCTTTCAATATTAACCAAACAATTTCGTTCGAACTTAGCTATTTTATGCAATTTTGATTGTGAAATCAATATGATGTGATCTTCTTGAGAAATTAAATAGAAAAAATTAAGGTTGACTATCAAAGATGTGGCAAAACTACATGACAAAGTGGTTTTTAATGGCTTGAATATTGTTATTAATGATGAAAAATACATCAATTCTAAAAATGTCAAAGAATAAATAGAAAAGTCAGAGGTGACAAGTGTTTGTACTGCGGTAGCAATTCACAAAAATATAACCCCTATATCCTTAAAAGTGATTATTATTTAAACATGTAATTACAAAATCATTACACAAGAAATGCACAAGATAAACAAAAAATTTGTCCTTATAAATTGGTGTAATTAAGCGACGGAAAGCAAAAATGAAAAAAATACTTTTTACTACTGTAATATAATTTCAGGAATGAAAGTCACAAAGAAAATTAAAATTGAAACTTGATATAAGTGAAAGAAGTAGAGTACAGGGGGAAACTTGCAGAGAATTTTGTTTCCTTTTTCATATATTATATCTTTCAAGCAATGAGTATCTTTCAACACATTCTGGGTCGCACTGAGAATTGTTCTGACAAGCTCTGATGTTGAAAGCATTCAATATATAAATAAGAAAATGAATTGTTACTTTGTTGCTTACCTATTAAGATTAAAAATCCACTGATGCTTATATGTATTACACGGAAACCTAAATCTAGCAATAAATATTATATATATATATATATACATATACACTATATATACTGTATATATATATACTATACATCTAGCTTATATTCTGTCTAATCTTCTAACTCCTTTAACAGTAACTAGAAATCATGTGTATATACATAACTTAACCATAAGCTGCTGACATATGACTTCGGTAGGTCCTAATACTTTGCTAAGTCTGCTACACTTGTGATACTCAACTACATCTAGGTAAGAATATGGCCTCCTGAAGACTCAAGTACAACATGCACTAATTGCTATGGAAAGATTCAGGATGCCACTTGAACATAACACTACAGTCCTTCTTTTTCATTCAGAATAGCATTAAAAATATATGCTTTAGTGTTCCACAAAACATAAAATTTATGTTGCCACTCAAAAATTTGTTTTTAGTGAAGCTTCAAAATTTCTACATGATTTTGAAGTTTCAAAATTTAAAATAATATTAACAGGTTAAAAGTCTGTGTATAACCAAAGCCTCAAAATGTCTAAAATCAGTGAAGGTTAAAATGTCCACAATATAACTAAAGCTTCAAAATACAATTTAGTACTAAAGCTTCAAAATACCATACACATCCTATAAAAATGTATGAAATTAATGACTGCCGGACAAACTATGATAAAATGGGTTTACGACAACGTCTATAATGTAATCTAGGTTTACCATGAGGTGCGTACCAATACCTTTCTTTTTGGCGGGAACTGCGAGAGAAAGGGGGGCTGTTAGAATGAAAAATTGGGGGGCTGGTGTGAGGAGAGATCTTAGTAATATGTACACATAGAAATAATTCCTAAAATACTAAAATATAGGTTAAAATAACAGATGTACAAAAGTCACAGTAGGGAAGGGTTACTGAGTGACCTCAACTGACCAAGTTTGACCGAGGTCAGAGCAAATAATACTTGGGCACCTCTATATAAATACTGCATAGTAAATGTGGATTTATCATAAGCCTCAACTTAAAAATTTTATTTTACTTTATATTCTTAATAACCTGTAAACAGCTTAATACAAAAATTTTAAGTATTTCAAATCCATTTTGGCAGAACAAAATTTAAGAAAAACTGCTAATAATAAAATGCATTTTTAATTTGATTTTAAAACTTAAATTTTGGAAATAATATATTAGGAAAGGGATATATATATATATATATATATATATATATATATATATATATATATATATATATATATTCTTTCTATTAGGAAAGGATATATATATATATATATAGTGTATATGTATATGTATATATACTGTACAGGTATATGTATATGTATATATACTATATATCTATCCCTGTGCTAAGATCCATTTGTCAAATGCATAAAATACAGAAACTGACTTAATACAAATAGTAAAATATAAATGTATACTTTAGTTGTAATGTTCACTGGTGAATAAAATATTTGAGCATCTTTTTATTAATAATTTCCTTAGTACTATCAAGTGCAGAGGGCCCAGTGTATTATATTGATGTATTAACATTGTTGCTACTGTATTAACAGTGCATCACTACACTCAGCTTTATAACAAATACCTCAGTCACATTGATGTCAATTGGAGTGAATAAAATACTGTAAACCATTGACCAGATTCTTTATGAATATATCTATATGTATATAAGTTGCAAAAAGAGCAATATGCTCATTCTAGACCAAATTGGACTAATTGGTATGTAGTGCACAAAGTAAATTATGAAAAAAGGTCACCCCAATTTCCTTGTCTTGAGTTGTGTAACGACTATTATGGTCACCATGTAGCTATGTAGCATGCCAATTATGCCAATTATAATATATATATGCTTATAAATCTTTAATTTATTTAGTAAATTATATCAAACTCTGGTCTCAATCGTAGAACAACCTCCAATTTACAAAGCCAATAGAAATGAGATACTGCTAAAGGTGATAATCTCAGATAATAGGACAATCAAGATGCACATCTACGTTAAGGGTACAAATGCAGTTTATTTGATGCAATCACCAATTATTTAAATACCATCTGCTCTCTGGTTCCTGCACAAAACCTTTTGTGCACTTCACAATGCTTGGAATTAGGTAAGAAGGCAATTAGGCCTTAAGAGTATTACTACACTTCAAATATGAGGGGATGGAAATAAATGATCTGAACCAGAATCAGCTGAAAATGTGAAAATATATACATATTTACAAACAAATAATATATACAGCAATTTATTTATATATATATATATATATATATATATATATACATATATATATATATATATATATATATATATATATATATATATATATATATATATATCACGAAAATTAGCACGTAATTAAAAATGTGATAATGTCAGACCACGAAGGAAGAACTGAAATAGGAATTTCCTTAATTTTAAGAAAATTCCTGTTTCAATTCTTCCTGCGTGGTCTGACACTGTCATATGTACTGTACTGTATATATATTATATATATACATATATATATATATATATATATATATATATATATATATATATATATATATATATATATATATATATATATATATATATATATATATATATATATATATATATATATATATATATATATATATATATATATATATATATATATATATATATATATATATATATATATATATATATATATATATATATATATATATATATATATATATATATATATATATATATATATATATATATATATATATATATAAAATAATTGAGAGATCTTGAATCATCCCATTATCAAGAAATTAACTAAGATATATATATGTCAAACAGGTAATTTTAATTAAAATTCTACTGTGTTTAGTAAAAAATAGGAAAAGTACAGGCAAGGCAAAGAATTTATGTATAAGTTTCTAATACATAAAATTTACAAATTGGTGAAAAATGTTAGTACTGTATTGAATATAGAAATTATACACACACACTGATAAGGGTAAACAACTAATAAAATGACACAAACAGGAAAATCATGGCACTGAAGAATAGGAAGAGCTCACAGAGGGGTAGAGAGAAATGTGTAAGAGAATTATGCAGGATTATCAATTTTCTTTGTTTACAAAATGTCATATTAGAAATATTGAAATAAAAACAGAAATGTATGTACACAAAATGAAAGAAAAAGCTGACTGGAATAAGAACAGATTATACTGCAAAATATATATATATATATATATATATATATATATATATATATATATATATATATATATATATATATATATATATATATATATATATATATATATATATATATATATATATATATATATATATATATATATACAAATTTTGACGGAAAGAAAAATATAGATACAAATAAACTCTTATATATATAAATAAATAAAAATACAAGTTAAACAAGATAATTTAAATTAAGAGATTTCAACACCAAGAAAAATTGAAAAGAAATCATTTTTAATTCAGAAATGAAGTTATAAATTGTGTTATTAGAAGCATACAGAATATGAGCATCCATAAAATGATTAGTGGTGAGAAGAGCGTCCATGGGGCACACTGGTCAGCTATCCTGGTTTTGAGCATGGGGGGGGGGGGGAATAAGGTACATGTTACTTGGCTGATGGAGAGAAGAGAATACAATTAATAAAAATAATATTACAAGTGAATGAGAAAATGCATTAAAATACAAACTAAAAAGAAGTATGAATGTGAATAAAAGATTAAAATGACAGTGAAGAGGCATTGGAAAAGAAAAATCATATTACAAGCCATAAAATAAAAGGTGAGATTAAGTAGCAACAAGTGAAGAGATGAATTAGAGAGTAACAATGTTAAATAATGTTGCTCACCATCCTCATCATCAGCCTCATTCTCCTCATCTTCAGTATCTGTGCTTTTACTCTTCCCTAAATGTTTGAGCTTTTTTCTCTTTGCTGCAGCTCTTCTTCTCGCTGTGAATGAAAACAAATAACTTTCAGCAGCCAAGTATCCATGTCAAGTTTTACGAGTCATTGCAAAGAGGGTGAAGAAGTTTGGCCCGCACATTAGTACAGAAATACTGAATTCATGAAATGTTCTTGCCAAAATATATAACTATACTATACTGAGACACCCAGGTCTGCCCATGTTCAGGGTGTAGGTAAAAGAGACACCCGATAAATTATCTGCTGCTATTTAACTTCTTCCATTTTCAAGAACATAACAGTTTGAAGATGATTTAGAAATACAAATGGGTGAGGTTGAACTTATTAACATACCCTCCATTATATGAGCTTTTTCTTCATCTGTGGTTCTCTCCTCCGCAAGTATAACTTCCTCTGTAAAGTAATAATTGTGTTAACAGCTGAGCAATTCATGAAAATTAAACTATGCTTTACTATTATATTAAATGGGGGCATGTTTGCATTAGGCTTCAACAAGCAAAGTACTGTAACAACTTTATAATGATTTAACAATAATTAATATAAACAGCATATTGTACTACACTCTATAACCAGTAAATTTGCTATTATTACTACTATGCCAAATCCTTTTTCAAATTACATAGGTTATTCTGCACTACTATTAACAGTGAATTTGCAATAAGGTCAATGGTACTTTATGAATAAATTCCAGTTTATAAAAGATAAAAGTTATATTGATCAAGTTCCACTGGTGAAATGAGCCACCCTGACCTGGCAAAACTTTGGAAGTCTACTGATCAGCTTTTTTCTTCACAAATCTTATGAGAAAATTCAACTTATTCCAAGGCCAAGAATGTGATTAAACAATAAATATAACCGATATAGTACTCTTAAAATTAAAATAAAACATACAATATTCTTTCAAACCAGGCTAATTTCTTGCTTATTTTTTCAAACCCTCTCTCTTTGACTCAAGATTTTCCATGGAATCTTGTGAGAATGTGATAGAATTACCATTTAAGGAAATATAGTTCCATATCTGCTCAATAATATAATTTTTTAATTTGATAATTTATATCTTCCAATGTAAACAGGAAATAATTTGTAAACAGTGCAAAGGTAAAGGCTACCCACTCTTAGTGCATATAACCTAGCCACTGTCAGTAAATTCTTGGACACACACTTCAACACCTACCTGTTTAAGAGATCCATTTCATATATTTTCTATTACCTACCTGCTTTACATATCCATTCCACATATCCATTTAACTCTCTTTCTAATTGTTGCTGTCTTCTAAGTTTTAAAAATTCTTGTCTATTTTCTACTCTCTCTCTCTCTTTAGCAAATTCACTGCAAACAAGAAAATAAAAAGGGTCAAATTACTATGCATCAAATTGTTACCAAAGCCATGGCTGGTGCCAAATTTTAACTATGCCTATCTAACACTTCATTACCTTGATTACTGGAAGTTTAAATTAACCATAAACAAAATGAACATAAACATATATTGCACTTTCCAGAATTAAATAACTTGGCACCAATATGGAGGTAATCCTAAAACTGTCATCAGACCTACTCTCACAAGTTTGATATACCCAGAATTGTTGAACTCTGTGAAATGGACCACTAATGATAATAATATTCCCCTCACATTTACTCTAGGGCGAATGAAAATAAATATTAGCATTATTCGGCCTGTAAAAAGCGAGATGGTAGAGCAACAGTCTAGCTTCTTAAAGGCTGGCACGACCAGCCTGTAAGAAGGTTAATCCCCGACCATCCAAGTAGTTGGGCACCATTCCTTTCCTCTGTCCTATCCAAAATCCTTATCCTCACCCCCTTCCAAGTGCTATATAGTTGTAAGCTTTCTATATATAAAGCCTAGTGCTTTCTCTTAATAATTACCATTGCTCTATATAATGTGCTTTCAAGAAACTTATCCAATATAGCAGAAGAATAAATTTTTGTTTGTTAAACTTCCAGATAACCAGATCATTAGTGCATAAATGGCAAGATAAAATAAATAGGGGAAAACACTACATGCTTACAGGATTAACCTAAAATATACTTTTTATTTGTTAAAGAGCCCGAACATTATTCAACACTTTCTAAGACATTACTCTACCTCATTAGCAGGTTTACAAAAATCATAACCTCGAAGACATCCTGTAATACAACATCTTTAATAAATGTTAGAGCTTTCACTGTCTACTTAACTATGCATATTGCACAGCTACTCAAGATAATATATAATAATGAATGTCTTGATCCTACAATGGTTATCTTGAGGTTATCTTGAGATGATTTCGGGGCTTTTTAGTGTCCCCGCGGCCCGGTCCTCGACCAGGCCTCCATCCCCAGGAAGCAGCCCGTGACAGCTGACTAACACCCAGGTACCTATTTTACTGCTAGGTAACAGGGGCATAGGGTGAAAGTAACTCTGCCCATTGTTTCTCGCTGGCGCCCGGGATCGAACCCGGGACCACAGGATCACAAGGCCAGTGTGCTGTCCGCTCGGCCGACCGGCTCCCCTAAAAATAAGTTTAACAAACCCCAAACTAGCATACAACTTCCTAATACAATGAAGTTGTAGTTGGCCAGACAAACCATAGTTGTCTACCTACCTTTTGTATCCAATATCATTCAAATGAGCATAGTCTTTCCTCTCATTTCTATTTACACCAACTCTCACTATTAAAACAATATTAGTGCGGAAAACTTCACTTTTTCAAATAATCTACAACTTACAAAATGCAGAACACAAAACATTTCTAGTCATATATAAAATGTTAGTCTTTCACATAATGCCCATTACAAGATCCGTTTTAGTAATGAGCACAGAGATGAAACCTATGTGCCAGATGATTAGTTTACTGATCTAGTTGAGTTACTTAGTGAGGATAATATAAATAATGCTTGAATAGAATATATGAAGTACAATATATTCCATTCACCTGGGCTCCAGGAGACTCGAACCATAGACTCCACGTATGTGAGGCCGAAGCTCACATAAGAACAATATATATATATATATATGAAGTGTTAAGTCTGCAGACTCAAACAGTGCTCTCATCTGTCATGTTAGAGACTCTAATCATCCTATTGATTGATCCTCGCCTAAAATAAACTTTCCAATCTCTGGTCTTCACAGATGCCAGTTTTTTTAACTGGCTCTGATACACAACACGAACCTTAGTTCTGGTATTGCTGTGGTTGACTCTTCCATTTTCACAGTACATATGTAATGCTTTAATCTACTTAAAGTTGATCTGACTTAGATTTAGCCCCTGTAGGCTCTCTTCCTGTCTCTTATGTTATTAGATTTTTTTTCTCTTCACCATTTGGCCTCCTGCAGTTTTCTTGAGTTTTTTACCTTTCTATTTTTCTAATTTGTTCATATTTATGCCTTATTCCTATTCTTCTTCATTTCTTTCATATCACTTTCTTACCTTAAATTGTCTGTCTATTCTGCTATTTTTCAATTACAAGACCGAACAGCCTGAAACATTGTTGGTTCTTCACCTTCAGATATATAGGTTGGGAATCAACATTTTTATTGCCTTTCAACACTATTTTTCTCAACTGTTAAACTATGTCTTCTTGTTCTCACTATTAATGGTTTCAAAATATCTTCATTGTCTTATTAAGTGTTAAATCATCATTATTCATTAAAATTCTCATATTATTTTACAAACTAGTACTGTATGTGATTATCACATTACTTCTCTTTCCTGTCACCTTGTTTCCCTTTACAGCGCCTCGGAGTGGCGATCTAGTACTGGCGATCAAAAGGTATTGGTTTGAGCATACCAATACCTTTTGTCTTTCCTTATATGTTTAGATGCTGACGATGTAGGCCTTCATAATCCAGTTTATGTCTGTTATAAATAATCATTAAAATTTCCCTATCCATGTATCGGAAAGACTATCCCAAAGCTTGCTATCTCATAAAACTGATGTACAATAACATTTGTCTTTCTTGTGCAAAACTACTGTTCAGTTAACACTAATTTCTTTTTCCATCTAATTCCATTCTACCTCATTTTTTCTACATAGTATTTGACTACCCATGTATATGGATATCCATAATTCATTGTTTGCTCAGTGTCTCACTCTTCCTTGAAAGAGTTATTGTCATGTCTTTTATACCTTCCACAGAATGATTGCATCATTTGCAAACATATTTATGAGGTTACTCATACACTGTGGCAAGTCATTTACATAGGACATGTGCATGTGTACCTGTTTTATGGCTTTTCATGTTAAAGCAGACTGAAACTAGCCAAACTTCTCTAAAAGATTAGTTATACTGTCAATTATTATAACATTTCAATAAATGCTATACTGTATTCTTATTAATGTATTTATTTATATTTAAGTGGTACATTCTTGCAGAGCCACTAATTTGCAAAGCATTTTGGGCTATGCATAACCAATGAACATCATAAATCCTTTTTGCTGCAATGTAATAATTAAAGTTTTTAAATTTGATTGATGTAAAAGATACAAGAAAATATGAGTACTACTGGCATATCAGATTATTTGCCTTTGCCAATAACACACCAGTACAAATTATTACTACAAATATCCAAAGGTAATATTTAAATACAAATGTACCATATGTCTACATACTGACCAACAATACAGGAAGCTACACATGTTTTGTGTTATTGTGTACTAGCGTACTGATTTGCATTAGATGTATTAAATGCTCCGTATCATACAAAACTAATGTATATGCTCAAATTCTATTCTAAGATCAAATTCAATGCCTACTGTATGCAGTGAATTTCATATAATGCACTCAAATTCAAATATTGGTCCAATTACATAAATATATTTTTATGTCACACCCCACCAAACACACACCGAAACTACAACGTTGGTACAACGTTCGAACAAGTTTTAACACCTCCTATAACCAGTTATAACAACCAATATAGCAAGTTGTAACAACGTTCTAATACGTCATAAACACGTTAAGCCAAGATGTAACAACTTTATTACAAGTTGTAACAAGCGGAAAATAGAGACAGTTTCGGTTTGTGTTTCCAGGGACTTAACTACCTATGTTGTGTACCTGCTTTACAGATCCAGTCAAAATAACCAGTAAAAGCCTCTGTAAAATTTCGTCTGATCCTGACTTTTCTGTGATGTTCTCTCCGCTCAACACGTTTTCTTTCATTAGAAAATTCCCTGAAATGCAAACATTCATGCACAACTACTCTAAGCTTTATGGTGCAATGCAGGCGATGAGTCACAATAACGTGGCTAAAGTAAGTTGACCAGACCACACACTAGAAGGTGAAGGGACGACCACGTTTTGGTCCGTCCTGAACCATTCTCAAGTCGACTTGAGAATCGACTTGAGAATGGTCCAGGACGGACCGAAACGTCGTCGTCCCTTCACCTTCTAGTGTGTGGTCTGGTCAACATACTTTATGGTGCAATGTAAATATAGATGAGGCTAATTAGATGATGCATATATGTATGGGAACACTGAAAAAAAAAGAGGTAATGTAATAAAATAAAAAATTAAGATCTACAATTGGCCCTTTATATAAAAAATTGGAATATTATGAATGCATTAAAAACAAATTTCACACTGAGATATTACTGTATAGCTCATAATGGTTGTATGCTACACTGATTTTATCTTTTGATTCCCACTATCTTCCTACACATCAAGTATATATTATAATTACTAGTCACAATGATTTATGAGCATAAAGTTTGCAGCATTTCAGACTGAACTTGAGCTACAAGATAAAGCTGCTGAGGTATATTTGTTATGTATTGAGTTAATATTTGATTAATTATATCTTGCATGAAGAAGTGTCATGAATTAAATATTTAAAAGCAAAGAAAAAAATGCCCAAATGTTTACCAAACAATACAGTACTATGCCTTAAATATGCAACACAAAATTAAGTTTTATAATTGAATTAAATGAGCTCAACATTTGACCTACAGGTGCTAAACTCAAACCTAAGTTGCAAGTTTTTGTTTTTGTCTTGAATGCCACAACTTTTCTAACGATTTGTCATAAATAATTAAAGTTAGAGAGCATGGCACCCAGAATGTAGATCACACCTTCACATACATTAATATACTAAAAAAAATCAAGCATTAAATGAAATGAATCGCCCAATTCTAGATGGACTCTGTAGCTTCCCACACTCTGGCTCTGGTACCATACAGACATCCACAAGCTACTAGACCTCTGTACTTTCACAAAGAAACAAGAATAACATTATAACTGTAATCCCCACAAAACTGGGTAAAACCATCTATAAACATAGGCAAAGCCAAATGAAATGTGAATCTTGATTTAAGAGGCTCGATAGAAACAAGGGAAGTCATAGTTCCCCCCAATTTCTACAACCATGTGCTATAGTACCCAAGCACACCAGCAGCAGCAGCTCTGGTTATTCAGGAGTCCAGCCTGTCTGCCTCATCTTGCATGTTTTTTATTTTTTATTTATTTATATATACAGAAGACATAATAAACCCCCACTGGACAAACCGAGCAATCACCACCAGAGGACCCCCAACGAAAAGCAGTAAACTTGTTCTTGGTCCAGTAGAACACAGAGGCTGGAGGCTGGGCAAGTGATCCCATGAATTAAAGAAACAAAACCTTTCCATGCAGCTACTAAGTTTGTAAGTGAAACTACTAGAAGCAAGAACCAACAAGGAAGCTGCCTTGGAAAATAGAATCCCGCCATGGGAACTAAGAAACCGAGGTGAAGCTAAAAGGAAAGAACCTTATCCAAGGATCAAGTAGGTTCCAGAGGAAAGTGAGCCAGCTGGAGGCAAAAAAAGAAAAAAAAAAGAGCCTCTCTTGCTTGCTTTTGCCAAGGCAAATCAAGAGGGAGGGGGGGAGGGAACTATTGGGAGAAAGCACCAAGCCATCACAACTATATAGCACTCGGAAGGGATCAGGATAAGGTTAAGGGATGGGACGGGAGGAAGGAATGGTGCCCAACCACTTGAATGGTCGAGGATTGAAAGCCGACCTGCATGAAGCAAGTCCGCTGCCCTACCTTCCAGCCCAAGAGAAGGTGATAGTATTGGGCATTAAACAGCACTAAACAAACAACCAGAACAGAAAGGACATGACTACTTTTACAGAAGTGGAGGAAAACAAGCAAATGGAAAGGAGAATCCATTTGGACTGCCAAGCCACTTTATGCTGATCCCAGGAAGAAGTACTGTATAGAAATGCAACATTAAAATTGTATAAACACAATTGTGATGCAGTGTGAATAAAGACATTCTAAGCCTGCCTCCTCACCCACTACAAGACAACAAAGTCCCAAGAAACACTAACCCTACTTGCCTTAAGAAAGAAGGCAAGTGGAGTTCACATGCCTTGCACTGAAATAGTAATGTGTTTAGTACAGTACCAGGCATGCGAGTGAAGAGGCAGGCAGGCAGGCTGGACTCCCTGGTTGACCTGACCTGATACCTAGTGGTGTACTTGGGAACTAGCACATGATTTGTTGACATTGGGAAAACTACTACAACCTTTGTTTAAATTTTTTCTGTTATCAAGATATGTACAGAAGTTTGTTTTCCTTCATCTGTACTCTCCAGGCAATTTTACTCGGTCTTGGGTCAATCTCTGATCTCATGCTCTCCTTGCCTCTGAGAGTGCCAGATTCAGGTCCTAGTGCTCGGTAGGCTTACATAAGTCCAGAGCCCTGGTGGTTTTGTGCACGTCTTGGGTACCAGAGCCAATGTGCCGGGAAGCTACCAAGGGCCAGCACAGAAAACACATTTTCCAAAAATAAACACTAATACAGAAATAATTGACAACTGAAAACTGATACCCATTCTGATGAGGACTGCTCACATATGTTCAAAACATAAATCATATTTTTCAATACACCAACATAAATGTTTTGGGCTACACAGAGAAGAGGAATGAACTTACCCAGAGAGCACACCAAGAACTAGGTTGAGCATGAAAAAAGACCCCAACACAATGAGGGGCACGAAGTAGAGAAAGTTGTAGCTGCTACCAAGTGCATCATTTGTCTGAAATTTAATTTTATAAATTACTGCTCCAAAGGTTATGCTTGACGTGCTATTTCTGGTATATAGCAAATGAAACTTGCTATACCAATATGTTTTAACTATACAAGTCCCACATATACCATGCTGTATAGAGAAAATTTATCTATGATTTCAATGTTTTATAGACATCAGCAAAACTGCTTTTCAAATACAGGTATAGTTATAATTACTGCAAAACATAACTCACCATGACACTATAGCTTTGAAAGTGCATTTATGCAACAAAATATAACAGAATAATTTATGGTTTATGATTAGGGGAATGTGCATAGAAGTAAAAGTAAATTAAATTAATCAGTGCTGCACAACCAAATGAACAGCAAATTGGATCAGAAAATATTGTAATTTATATACAAACAGACATATCCACAAACATTAATAAAATTCAAACACAAGTATGTTTTTCAAAATTCCCTTATAACTAAGGTATCTTTGAAATTTGTCATAAATATCACGAGGTGAAGAATGAAAAAGTTGAATTTTTATGTAAGAAAATGTTATCCACCATCATTTACAAGATATACGGTAGCCTTGAAGCCAGACATAGTAGGCCCAGCTGCAGATGAAGCTTTCAGACATACAAAGCTATTAATAAAAAATAACCATTTAAGAGAATAATAAAGTTATTAGAACAGTATATGTTATGTGCAAGCAACTTAACAGTTGCATTAATTAATGTGGGTGTGTTAATAATCCGACTTTTGGTTATGACTGTCTATACACAACTCTTATCAAACTGGTACAACCATTACCGTTTTTGCCTGGCCCCCAATACCAGGTATCAGCCTTGTCAATTTTTTTATATTTTATCGTAAGAGTACTGTATGTTCATTCTGTTATACGGCGACAGAACTGCACAACTGTAATGTAGGGACCCTTGTGAAGTGTGTTTAACTCCTGAATTTAGAATTCCCACCAGTACAATAGTTAATTCTGCACATGTGCGGTACACTGTCATATCAGGAATTTGATCTTTGCTTTATTATCTTATAGGATACACACATTTCCTACTGTTATTTATAAGAAAGGAAGGACAGGGTTTGTTAGTCTGTACTGATTATTAAATACTGTACTTGAAAATGGTCCATGAGCTCCTCTTTACCCATTAATGTCTTTACCCATTACCCATTTTTCGGACTTTCACAAATGCCCGGACTTTGAAATTTACATGGTTCAAGCTTTTCAATCTGTTTAATTACAGTACAGTATATTCTTCTTGTGAATTTGCATGTTACAGTCTGTATTCATTGTCTTGGTGGAGAGCTGTTTTGATGTGCAACTTTCGCACTTTTTCTTTAGTGAAGACTGATATGAAACAGTTTAGAATAATGCTCATTTCTTCCTAACCCTCTACTAGTTGACCAGAATCGTTTCCAGCAGTTATGTCCTTCTTGTTAGAAGAATATAGCCATTACTTATGTCTGTTTCAAGATTTGGAATTTTCCTTTCTAACTACCATACATAAGCTGAAAATAACTTTGTCAATCCTTGCATAATGTTGACCAGACCACACACTAGAAGGTGAAGAGATGACGATGTTTCGGTCCGTCCTGGACCATTCTCAAGTCGATTGTCGACTTGAAGAATGGTCCAGGACGGACCGAAACGTCGTCGTCCCTTCACCTTCTAGTGTGTGGTCTGGTCAACATACTTTAGCCACGTTATTGTGACTCATCGCCTGCACTTGCATAATGTTTATTTAAATAAATATTTATTGATATTAGCCAATCAGACTAAAAAAAAATTCAATTCTTAAAGGCATTTGAAATTTTCATTTACCTGGTAGCTCCAGTGACAATGTGTAGGAAAAATGTCTTTTGTAACAAATATTGAAAGAAAATTTGAAAGGAACCCCATCTGAGAATTAAGTTGGAAAATTTTAATAACAAGGTGTAATGAGGTTGGAGGACAACAAGCAGACAAACACGAGACCAGACGCTCTCTCGCACACTCCATGGGTTTGTACAGTTTTAGAATATATGTGTATGGATCAGAGACTTGACTTGCATTTACTTAACCCTTGGTGGATATTAATGTACTAAAAAGGTAAACCTTAAATTTAATTGTGTGAAATTTGAAAAGAAAGCATAATATGCTTAAGCAAACCTCCTTACTACAGAGCACAGGACTCACCCAGTAGAGTATGGAAGTCCAGCCCTCCTGTGTGATGCACTGAAACACTGTCAACATGGCAAAACCAATGTTATCAAAGGACGTGATACCATAGTTGGGGCCCACCCACAGCTCCAGACAGGTGGAGATGTCGGAATTACAGAAAAAGGCACCCGAGGGCGCTAAGGATGCATTATCTGTGTGACACGGCGTCTCCATCTCTCCTTCTGTCACTACTTCACCTGCAAACAGACCAGACATTAATGATAGGCTCCCACACCAACATAAACATGCTAGGTGAACATTGAACTAGTGTTCATGCCCTGGAATTTAAATATTGATTACACAACAGCAAAAGTTATACATTTTAAATGCTATATGACATGGTATGTAGTGTGTACAAGTACTATGTAACATCAACACCAATAAGTTGTGCAAACTTAGGTGTGGTTATTTTGTAGTCATTTTGAACATTGTTTTGTACACAAATTTTTACTTAGAATATATTTCTTATTTCAAAATACTTTGTTTCAAACATACTGTACTTTAGAATATATTTCACATATTTCTAATGTATATCATGGGTTAGGATGGAAAATTTATGTGAAAATCAAGTTGTCAGAAGGAGTAAGTCATTTGACTTCTACATTAAGGGGCAGTTTTATGTTATTTTAAATGTTGTTTAATGTCAACCAAACTTTATTTACTAGTTGTATGTAAACCTGGTTGATGCCTGGTTGATGGGGTTCTGGGAGTTCTTCTACTCCCCAAGCCCGGCCTGAGGCCAGGCTCGACTTGTGAGAGTTTGGTCCACCAGGCTGTTGCTTGGAGCGGCCCGCAGGGCCACGTACCCACCACAGCCTGGCTGATCCGGAACTTCTCTTAGAAAACTGTCCAGTTTTCTCTTGAAGATGTCCACGGTTGTTCCGGCAATATTTCTTATGCTCGCTGGGAGGACGTTGAACAACCGCGGACCCCTGATGTTTATACAGTGTTCTCTGATTGTGCCTATGGCACCTCTGCTCTTCACTGGTTCAATCTTGCATTTTCTTCCATATCGTTCACTCCAGTACGTTGTTATTTTATTGTGTAGATTTGGGACCTGACCCTCCAGTATTTTCCATGTGTATATTATTTGGTATCTCTCTCGTCTCCTTTCTAGAGAGTATATTTGGAGAGCTTTGAGACGATCCCAATAATTTAGGTGTTTTATCTCGTCTATGCGTGCCGTATATGTTCTCTGTATTCCCTCTATTTCAGCAATCTCTCCTGCTCTGAAGGGGGAAGTGAGTACTGAGCAGTACTCGAGACGGGACAGCACAAGTGACGTGAAGAGTACAACCATTGTGATGGGATCCCTGGATTTGAAAGTTCTCGTAATCCATCCGATCATTTTTCTGGCTGACGCGATATTTGCTTGGTTATGCTCCCTAAACGTTAGATCGTCGGACATCATTATTCCCAAATCCTTGACATGCTGTTTTTCTACTATGGGAAGATTCGATTGTGTTTTGTACCCTGTATAATGTTTCAGATCCTCATTTTTGCCGTACCTGAGTACCTGAAATTTATCACTGTTAAACATCATGTTATTTTCTGCTGCCCAATCAAAAACTTTGTTGACATCTGCTTGTAGTTTTTCAATGTCTTCAGCAGAGGTAATTTTCATGCTGATTTTTGTGTCATCTGCAAAGGACGACACGAAGCTGTGGCGTGTATTTTTGTCTATATCAGATATGAGAATAAGGAACAGTAGCGGTGCAAGGACTGTACCTTGAGGTACAGAGCTTTTAACATCGCTTGGACTCGATTTTATCTGATTGACTGTTACTCTTTGTGTTCTGTTCGACAGGAAATTGAGTATCCAGCGTCCTACTTTTCCAGTTATTCCCATTGACCTCATTTTGTGAGCTATCACCCCATGGTCACATTTGTCGAACGCCTTTGCAAAGTCTGTGTATACAACATCTGCATGCGAAAAGATACGTGAATTTAGAGACAATTCTATAACCAATGTTCCAGCGATGTGTCAATATTTCATTCAAAATGATCTGCTACCAGAAATTTTAGCCAAATATCCCGTTTGCTAACTGTAGGTAGTAACTAAGTGATTGTAACCTATCCACCGCTGCCCACTGGATGGGGGGCGGTGTGCAGGACAAACATATAAATTTTGACACTAGCTCTCCACATATGTCAGTTGCTTAATTTAGAACCTGTACTTGAGGTCGATCTCGAACCCATTGTTGATGTGACGACTTATATTGAATTTTGTAACTAGCTCATCAAGATTGTAACTTGCTTAGCTAAATGAATTGTGGGGTTCAGTCCCTGAGCCCATATATGTGCCTCTGTAACCCTTTCCACTACCGCCCACAAGATGGGTATGGGGTGCATAATAAATGAACTAAACTAACTTCTAGGGCTTCTGTGATTTTGTCATAGTGGTTGAGTAACTGTGACAGACAGGATCTTCCCGCTCTAAATCCATGTTGTCCTGGATTGTGCAATTCATTGTTTTCCATAAAACTAGAAATTTGATTCCTAATCACTCTTTCAAACACTTTTATTATGTGTGATGTTAGTGCAACTGGCCTATAATTTTTTGCCAAGGCTTTACTCCCCCCCTTGTGCAACGGAGCTATATCTGCAGATTTAAGTGCTGCTGGTATCTCCCCTGTATCCAGGCTCTGTATCCAGGCTCCAGGCTAAAAAGGGCTGCAACTGTTCTACGTTTCAGTATCACACCCTAAATAGAAAGTGAAGGATTTTTTTTTCAACAAATTTACACATTTTCAATAATAATCTACAACCACAAGTTTAAAATGAAATCATTTCTATGACACTCGTCTATTACATTTGCATATATTAAAGGATTTGTATAACGAGGATTATCCAAAATATGTTTACTTTTACTAATACAAGTAGTCAAAGTTCCTCAAAAATATATGCCAATACACTATTTCATCTTTGCAAATATTTATAAAATCAATAAATGCACACATAACATGAATTTTTGACACATAGTTCAATATTTTTTTCTCCCTTCCTATTTATGCTACAATGCCGAGACCTTGACCAGTTGAACCCAATTTCACATACAACTAGCCAAAAAAAGCTTGATTGAAATCGAACCAGCTTTCATTTATTGCATATTTTCGTAAAATGCCACCTTAAAAACCCTCAAATATATCATGCATTGAAATATGATTTTTATACTGTAGAAAGAAAAAAGGGTAGACACCAAGAGAGTGGCAACAATCATCAAAATTCTGTGGCCAAGAACCTGTGACATGGATTCCTAAGTGCTACTTTTTTGACACGAAAAACAGATAATTTATTTCATTTTGTCACGGACAAGAAAGCTGTGTATATACAGTCTTTGGTTTTAAATTCTTACTAATCATAACTCCCAGATCCCTTTCGCAATCCGACTTCGCAATCTCAACACCATCCAGCTCGTATCTTGTAACTCTATCATCATTACCTAGCCTCAGAACTTTACATTTATCAGCATTAAACTGCATCTGCCAATCTTTTGACCATTTCAAAACTCTATTTAGATCAACTTGTAGTGATAGTGAGTCTTCTTCCGTGTTAATTTCCCTACCGATTTTTGTATCATCAGCAAATTTGCAAATGTTGCTACTCAAACCTGAATCTAAATTAATTATATGTATTATAAACAACAGAGGGCTCAAGACAGAGCCTTGAGGCACTCCACTTACAACATTTTCCCACTCTGACTTAACCCCATTTATACTCTCTGTTTCCTTTGGTACAGCCATGCCCTAATCCAACTTAATATAGCACCCCCAATACCATGAGCCTCTATCTTTTTAATCAGTCTTTCAAATGGAACTCACTCCCTAACGAATTAATTAAAAAGTTATTCAACCTATGCCTTATTCAAAAGTAAAACCACAAATTACCTAATTCAAAGGTTAGGTAATAATTGTAATTACGAAGCAATAAGATGCTTATCTTAACATACTAAGTAGGTTAGGTAAGGTCGGTGTTTTCTATGAAGCTTTTCAAGGGAAACTATTATGTTAAGTATGTCACCTATGCACATATTTAATAAGTCAATATTGACTTATTAAATTTGCGAGAACGGGTTGCTGTGTGGGGGTGCGGCATAGCCCCCCCCCATAACATGTGTGGGGGTGCGGCATAGCCCCCCCCATAACATGTGTGGGGGTGCGGCATAGCCCCCCCCCCCCATAACATGTGTGTGTGGGGGGTGCGGCATAGCCCCCCAACGCCAGGAGGCCGCTGGCACGGAGTCCCAATCCTTTGGTAAGTGTAAGAAGGTTAAATTTAACAACGTGTAACTTCCCGAGGGGGTAAGTCTAACAATGGTGAATTACACTGGTGAAAGTGCTACCTTGGGTAAATAAACAAAGTCTGAAATGTTGTTTTTTACAAAATATGGATTAAAATATGAATGTTACTTGCGAAGTTTGGCTAAATATATACATCCAGCAACGGAAATTAACGATATTTTATAATTCAAATTCAAATTCAAATTCAGGAAAAGTACATACATAGATGATTTACAAATACACAAATTTACATAGATAGTTACATAGATGATTTACAAATTCAACATAACTAAACAAGAATTAAATATGGCTGCTTACCTAAGTCTTCTAAACTGTAGCATGTTTTATGAAGAGCACCAGAGTAGAATTCAAGGCCTATGATGGCGAATATGACAATGGCGAAGAGGACGAGCAAACCGATTTGTAGTAGCGGCGCCATAGCCTTGATGATGGACTTGAGCACAACCTGGAGGCCTGAGGATAGACGGTGACGTTCACAGCTGGTTAGGGAGCTGCTGCAGGTAGGGGAGAGGTGGAATAGGTGATCATGCATAACGAGAAGTGTGTGTGTGTGTGAAGCTGGATAGGCTATGAAGTGGGATAGGCTATGTTGGACATGCTTGAGATGCGTTAAGTTGAGAAGGATAATGGGTAGGGATAGGTGCTGTTAGGCATGCATAGGGACGTGCTAGATTGAGGAGCTGTATAATATAGGTGTTGTTAGTCATGCACATGGCGTAATGGGAGTAGGGGAGATTGATAAGGAGTCTGAGTCAGGTGGTGTTGCGTAGTGGGGAGATTGGCGGGATGGGGAACTGACTGGATCGAGGGTAGATGATTTGGTTGTGGTGCCGTGCACAAGAAAGGGATAAGTTGGGATGCTTGGACAGGAAATAGAATAGATGCTTGTCAGGCACAGGGGAAAGATGAACCTGGATATGTAACAGGAAATATCAGACGTGTCTGTGGTCATGCATGGCGGTGAGTAGTAATCCATGCGTAGATGGTGATGGTTTAAAGCGCATGGATCATGTTTGGGGATGAGCAATCATGGTCATGCATGGGGCGCATGGCCGAGTTTCGGATAGGTAGTGATGGCCAAGTACCGTTGAATGGTGCATCAAAATTTCAGACTGAATAAGGAAATGCAACCATGCATAGTTGTGTCATGCATAAAGATTGATGCATGACGTGGAAGGGGAAGATGGTTATGAGCTAAGAGATATCACAAGGTAGTAGCCACACCAGAACTGAGTTTATATATGTGTCGAGTATGGTGGTTAAGCCATGGAAAATTATAGCTGGGGAAAATAGAGGATCCAGACCTGTGGACATTATGCCCTAGATTTATCATGCATTTACCCAACTACTTACGAAACCTATACATCTTTCCTGAATAATCAGTGAAGATACACTGCTGCTTTGTTTACACTTATTAAACCATCTATGAGCTTCTAAACTTCACAACCCAAGGTTATTATTGGTAAAAACAACCTCACAGTGCTTCCAAGCTCAGAAACATTTAATAAATGTTGACAAAGTCGCCATGATTGAGGAAAGATGTACAGCTTTCGTAAATAGATGAGTAAATGCTTGGTGGATCCTGGGCTAGTTAAGGTATAGGAGTGTGTTAAACAGTGGCGTGGAGTATGCACAACTGTGACAAAGCCACAGTGGTGACAAAGCCACAGTGGTGACTGCACAATGTACTGAGAAATGTCAAGATATTGTACGTAAAATAAAGACTTTTAGGTGTTGTCTTTAATTAAGAATCTTGAGTCACTAAGAGAGTAAGTCACTATAAACAGTACAGTGTTTTATTTGAGTCAACAAGGATAACAAAGCTACAGCAAGAGCGTCATTCTGGTTAATCTCTGTATAACCTTCAAGTATATATATATAATACGGGGCTCACCATAGTCCGTGCTACTTGGAACTTTGTTCCAAATAGCGAATCTTTAACAACAACATTGAAGTATATGTAAATTAGGTCAAGACTTGGCTTCTCTGGTGTCTTTAGACAATGGCGAATGTGACTCAAATTTTGAATAAGATATGTAACTCTGGTATATATATATATATATATTACCAGGCGAGCACATGGCCACGAAGCAGCAGCAGTAATGACCTTGACTCTCCACAACTCTCCTGACCAGTAAGAAACATTCAGGTGCAGTCAACAAGTCACAACAGTTAGTTTACTTCATTTATTATGCACCCCATACCCATCTTGTGGGCGGTAGTGGAAAGGGGGTTACAGAGGCACATAATGGACTCAGGGACTGAACCCTAGACACAACAGCCTGGTGGAACATCATCCACCCACACAACACATCTGTCAAAATAAAGCAAGAGACGACGTTGCGGTTCATCTCGGACCATTAACAAGTCTAAAGAAAATGTTATAAGTCAATATAATTCATTGTGTCGCGGGACAGGCAGCCAGAGTGTATATATACATGCTAGGCTTATATCTAAGTCCCTCCCCCCCCCCACCTGAAGGTAGAGTTACTGACCCAGGAAGCAATCCCACAACCCGTTAACTTAACTGTTAGGTGAACAGGCGCATTAGATGATAGAAAATGTACCATAGCGGTTAATAAGGATAAACAACACTAGTAGGCCTAATGGTGAAGAGAATAATACAAAAATAGAAACCAAAGAGATAGCAAGAGAAGATAACGAAAAGCGTGCCTACAGGGACTAAATCTAAGCTTATATATATATATATATATATATATATATATATATATATATATATATATATATATATATATATATATATATATATATATATATATATATATATCCACAAGGTTCCTCTGAATACTTTTTATTTTCTTCTCCGAGGCTATGGGTCCCCACATTGGCACCAGAGGTGGTACCCTCACAAACTATATATATATATATATATATATATATATATATATATATATATATATATATATATATATATATATATATATATATATATATATATATATATATATATATATATATTGACTTTACCATTCATTCTACTTGCTAATGGTCCAGGGCGGGCCCAAACGGGTCCGCTGACTTTATTTTCAAACGTGAGGGTTGGGTGTCAAAGCATTCCAGAGTTCGATACCCGTATTCCTGAGAGCCAAGGGTTAACAAACAAATAATTCAGAGCATTCGTTTGAGAACCTTGAATGAACAAACAACCTCTTTGGACTGGTTGGTGGTCAGTGTAGATAACAGTAGAGGTGTGGCAACAGTGGTCAGTGTAGATAACAGTATAGGTGTGGCAACAGTGGTCAGTGTAGATAACAGTAGAGGTGTGGCAACGGTGGTCAGTGTAGATAACAGTAGAGGTGTGGCAACAGTGGTCAGTGTAGAAAACAGTAGAGGTGTGGCAACAGTGGTCAGTGTAGATAACAGTAGAGGTGTGGCAACAGTGGTCAGTGTAGATAACAGTAGAGGTGTGGCAACAGTGGTCAGTGTAGATAACAGTAGAGGTGTGGCAACAGTGGTCAGTGTAGATAACAGTAGAGGTGTGGCAACAGTGGTCAGTGTAGATAACAGTAGAGGTGTGGCAACAGTGGTCAGTGGGGATAACAGTAGAGGTGTGGCAACAGTGGTCAGTGTAGATAACAGTAGAGGTGTGGCAACAGTGGTCAGTGTAGATAACAGTAGAGGTGTGGCAACAGTGGTCAGTGTAGATAACAGTAGAGGTGTAGCAACAGTGGTCAGTGTAGATAACAGTAGAGGTGTGGCAACAGTGGTCAGTGTAGATAACAGTAGAGGTGTGGCAACAGTGGTCAGTGTAGATAACAGTAGAGGTGTGGCAACAGTGGTCAGTGTAGATAACAGTAGAGGTGTGGCAACAGTGGTCAGTGTAGATAACAGTAGAGGTGTGGCAACAGTGGTCAGTGTAGATAACAGTAGAGGTGTGGCAACAGTGGTCAGTGTAGATAACAGTAGAGGTGTGGCAACAGTGGTCAGTGTAGATAACAGTAGAGGTGTGGCAACAGTGGTCAGTGTAGATAACAGTAGAGGTGTGGCAACAGTGGTCAGTGTAGATAACAGTAGAGGTGTGGCAACAGTGGTCAGTGGGGATAACAGTAGAGGTGTGGCAACAGTGGTCAGTGTAGATAACAGTAGAGGTGTGGCAACAGTGGTCAGTGTAGATAACAGTAGAGGTGTGGCAACAGTGGTCAGTGTAGATAACAGTAGAGGTGTGGCAACAGTGGTCAGTGTAGATAACAGTAGAGGTGTGGCAACAGTGGTCAGTGGGGATAACAGTAGAGGTGTGGCAACAGTGGTCAGTGTAGATAACAGTAGAGGTGTGGCAACAGTGGTCAGTGTAGATAACAGTAGAGGTGTGGCAACAGTGGTCAGTGTAGATAACAGTAGAGGTGTGGCAACAGTGGTCAGTGTAGATAACAGTAGAGGTGTGGCAACAGTGGTCAGTGTAGATAACAGTAGAGGTGTGGCAACAGTGGTCAGTGTAGATAACAGTAGAGGTGTGGCAACAGTGGTCAGTGTAGATAACAGTAGAGGTGTGGCAACAGTGGTCAGTGTAGATAACAGTAGAGTGTGTGGCAACAGTAGAGGTGTCAGTGGTCAGTGGGGATAACAGTAGAGGTGTGGCAACAGTGGTCAGTGTAGATAACAGTAGAGGTGTGGCAACAGTGGTCAGTGGGGATAACAGTAGAGGTGTGGCAACAGTGGTCAGTGTAGATAACAGTAGAGGTGTGGCAACAGTGGTCAGTGTAGATAACAGTAGAGGTGTGGCAACAGTGGTCAGTGGTCAGTGTAGATAACAGTAGAGGTGTGGCAACAGTGGTCAGTGGGGATAACAGTAGAGGTGTGGCAACACAGTGTAGTCAGTGTAGATAACAGTAGAGGTGTGGCAACAGTGGTCAGTGTAGATAACAGTAGAGGTGTGGCAACAGTGGTCAGTGTAGATAACAGTAGAGGTGTGGCAACAGTGGTCAGTGGGGATAACAGTAGAGGTGTGGCAACAGTGGTCAGTGTAGATAACAGTAGAGGTGTGGCAACAGTGGTCAGTGTAGATAACAGTAGAGGTGTGGCAACAGTGGTCAGTGGGGATAACAGTAGAGGTGTGGCAACAGTGGTCAGTGTAGATAACAGTAGAGGTGTGGCAACAGTGGTCAGTGGGGATAACAGTAGAGGTGTGGCAACAGTGGTCAGTGTAGATAACAGTAGAGGTGTGGCAACAGTGGTCAGTGTAGATAACAGTAGAGGTGTGGCAACCGTGGTCAGTGTAGATAACAGTAGAGGTGTGGCAACAGTGGTCAGTGTAGATAACAGTAGAGGTGTGGCAACAGTGGTCAGTGTAGATAACAGTAGAGGTGTGGCAACAGTGGTCAGTGTAGATAACAGTAGAGGTGTGGCAACAGTGGTCAGTGGGGATAACAGTAGAGGTGTGGCAACAGTGGTCAGTGTAGATAACAGTAGAGGTGTGGCAACAGTGGTCAGTGGGG